TGTTGAGGTCTTTTTGGCGACATCCTACAAAAGTGCAAAGTATGTTTATTATATCTTATGATGATAATTGATAAACTTGGGTATGCATAAAGGAATCCATGTGACGCACCATTCCCCCAAACTTATTTCAAAGTGTATGTGTACACTGTTGGCGTGTAAGATGCATAAATTATGTCTTAATATAAAGTTCATATCACAAAAATGTGAATCACCAACAAAGTTTAGTTCTAATCATGTACTTTGTTCAATTTGACCCATGATTGACTAAAAGAGGACTTCAACCTTATGACTCATGTTCAATGCATTGGGATTCGTGTAGATTGTGCTTAGGCTATTTATTGACATGCATGGATGAACGATGACCTAAACTAATAAAAATGTTGAAAAATTGAAAAACTCGTAGACTAATGCAAAATGAAATAAATAAAGGGTAGAGACGTTGGGTTGCCTCCCAATCAGCGCTAGGGAATAGTATGCAATATATTTTAACTACCTGTTCTTCACTGTTTCTACAGCTGCACGTGCACACCACACTGCGTCCCACGGAGACCAAGCGTGATCTCCCATGCATCACCAGTTTGGTGCCGTTCCCTAATCGTCCGATGCAATTTTTGGACGACCTCGCTAGGAGTGTTGTCAGGCCATAGTTCCATGAGGTGGCACCGACCAATGGGGGACATGACGGTAGAGCTGCGGGTGATGACCATGACGATGAGTTAGGTGCAGGGGTCGAGGACGATGAGACATCCACGAGCGATGACCGTCCGACACCGGAGGCAACGACGACAATAGGTCTAAGGCTGATGAGAATGGAGACAACAGTCGTGAAACCTCCAGCGAGACTGGTGCTGGTGACATCGGGGATGACGAGGATGCCTCGAGACGACAGTCGAGTACATTACCCACTCCAATGGTTACCCCGTCCACATCTGGGCAACAGGGTACGCATGGTGGATCGACTGTGACGAGGGAGGACATGGAGGGCATGTTGTTGGATCAGCGCATTCTCATCGAGATGAGGTTGCGGACCGTGAAGTTTGAAATCATGCAGCACGTGATCAAGGAGTTTGCCAGACTGAGGGACTTCATATCTACCTTGGTGCCCCTGTCTGGTGACACCTCTACTTTCGCTGCAGCTCTTGTCGTGAATGAGCCAAACATTTGGGACGACCCTCACGAAGGTATGAGTTTATGTTACTGCAACTTCCACTTACAACATGTCTGCAGAGCTGTGCAATTTTTCCTATGCGTTCGCTTACAAATGTATTTTTTTTAATTGCCAAATTATTTAGATGTAGATGGAGGAGACATGGACCTGTGCCCGGATGACGGTGGCCGTCCTTCGCCAATCGGGTTCTTGGAGGTGAATGGTATGTCGGTTAGTTATGTGTAACACATAATTATATTTGATGTCATCTCATCTCGTGATATGCAACTGTATTCAATTTCACTTCTCCATTAATTTTTTTTTGTTTTCCAACTAGACGGGAAGGCAACGACGAACGGAGCCCATGTTCACGAAATTATTTCTTTCGATTTTAAAACTTCCGCAAGTGTACAGTTCGTTAACAAGTAATAAAGTGGATTAAATGAGTCCCAATATCGTCCCACAAAGATTGATTAGTTCAATTTTATCTATCGTCGCCTTAATCAAAACTAAATTACTAAAGTGAATGTGAACCTAATTAAAACCCTAATTATGTAATTTTTATGATTGAATTAAATTAAATATGCAAAACGATATTTTTAATACTCTAGAATGAAATCAAATGTTGAGAACGGACGTTTGTTGTAATCAATAGAAATTAAACATACTAGGATTACGATTTTTCATGCAATTATCACTTTAAAACCCTAATTTCACTATGTGACAACACACTTCAATTGTGACGAATCAATATTCCTAAGTCTATCCAATATTCTCTCTCGAGATGTATCGAACCTATTTCTACATACCATCGGCCTATATTTCTATGACAAGTGCATATATTAAAATGCATGCGGTTTTATGAACACTTAAAGATTCACGTAAGGCATAGCGGTATATTTCTATCCCCTATCGGACTCTACGATGATTTATATTATGTCGAACTTATTCAAATTCTCTCGAATGTAAGAATAAATCACCCAAACTCACACAATTACGAGCCCTTAATTACGGAAACTATAATTGCATATAAATCATTCAAAACAATATAAATATGTCTTAATGTCAAATTACAAAACTAGAAAATTAAAGATCTAACTACATGGTACATCGATCTCCTAGCACATGAAAATCTAGCCTAACATGGTTAAAATAAAAGAATACATCAGATTTTGGATAAAAGACATCACTGGGTTATGAAATCTTGAAGCTGTTCGTGTAAATCTTCGTTCTTACGCTCAAAATCCTCTCCAAGAAGTGTTTTTCTGCCTCCAATACATTCTCTTTCTTTTTGGACGTCTTTTGGTATTTATATCGCGTGAAAATTAGATTACCAAAAGAGTTTCAGTCGTATAAGGAAACTGCAAAAACGGCCCCGAATCTTGTTCTATGTGACCGCATAGCACATTTCTATGCCTATGAGATCGCATAGTTATGTCATTCTTTCCGCCGGACAACTTTTAGTATTTTGATCATAACTTTCTCTCCTAATTTCTGATTGAAGTGATTCAAAGTGAATTGTGAAGAAAACTCAAAGATATACAGTTTTGATAGAATAGGCTTCCTCAAATTCTGATGTTTACTATGTCAAAAATGGATCTCAAGTAAAGACTAAAAATCACGAGCATAATTTTTTCCCCTGAAAGTTGATACTTGATAATATTTTGACCATATTTCACCTCTTGACTCCTTTGCTCATCCGATTAACCTCTGACACTCTTGAATCTTCATTCCATTTCCCTTATCATCTATGGATTATTTACAACTTGTTCCCTGAACTATTACTTTGCTTCATTTTAGTCATTTTTTGGCTCTTTTCTCTTGAATTCCACCATTTTCATAGAAACACCTACATTACATGAATTCAACGAGATTAAGTCACAATTTAAACATTTTGCTCGTAATTAAATCGTATTTGTGATCTAAATAAGTGTGCAAAAACACACTTATCAAGTGGCAACAATCAAATTAAGTGTACAAAATACAAAACGCAACAGCAACTTCAAACAATTAAAAAGGAGCTTCTTCAAGGTAACAACTAGTGGAAATACTATATAGTTTAATAACCTATGTATTAAGGGGAAAAAATCTGTTACGAATTCACAGAAATATGAAGCTAACAAAAAAAATAAAATCGGCCAGTCAAATTCAATGCCCATTAATTCATCAGAACTGTTTTATAGGAAGATGATGTGTTGAAGATATTGAAATACAACATATGAATGACTTTCATAAATTGAAATTACGGTAGTAGTTGTACCATTTTTTTTTTTTTCTTTTCTTTTCTTTCACTTGACTTTTATCTCATTAGGGGGTCGTTGGTGATCTGCTGTTGTAATTTGTAGAGAAGCTCAATATTGGGTGTGCTTGGAAAGGACAACTGATACTTCGGCACATCGAAGTTGGGGTCGGATCAAAGCGGCCTGGTAGGGCTTCGGTTCATGACTTTCAATCGAGGTTTGGTTCCAAAAAGTACTATTAGATGGCAAATTTGTAGCCGGATGGGATGGTTTTGCATGCCAGAAATAACCAATATTATTTCTACAAGTTCAACGCAAAGTTCCTGACTGTTTTGAGGATTGAAGCATTATCCGCGAAGTATTCGTCGTCGGAGAGAAAGTGGGGGTATAGATAGGTGTTCACGGCGGCTGTCACGGTGGAGCTTCCGGTAGTGGAGGTAAATGAAGTGAATTTCATCAGTGCACCATTTTTCACCCCCTCGTTTTTCTTGAGGACAGAGGCTGGAGAAGCTAACGATGACAAGCTCGGTTCTTTATGGCAACGAAAATTACAAGATAACATGTATGCGCCGTTGATTGAAGGGGGCTTCGTCGGGTATTGTTCTAAAAAATGTAAAGTGTGACTAAATATGGAGGTCAATTTTTAAATTTTACAAGCCTAGGCGAGATCTATGCATAACATAGCATTTTCTTACTTTTAGTCATTTTAAAAATTATTTAATAATTAAAATAATACATACCATACATCTAAAAATGATAAAATAGTATATCTACTTAATAATTCATACAATTAATCGATTATACAATTTTCAAATTTTCAAAATGCAAAAACTGAACTGGTTTTCATAGTTTCAATTTCAACTAGACAAGTTTTACTTGAAATTTTCTAACGTATCTTCATGTTGATTTTTGTGTAGATAAATTCATTTAAAAAACTTGAAACTAAAATTAGATAAAATGTTTTTGAAAAACAAAATATAAAAAGAAATAATAAAGCGCTAATAAAGACACATTGCCAAGTCATAGCATTTTGCCCAAGTCTCGTGCATAGGTAGTGCCTAGGCGGTGGTCTATACAAGTTTTTTAGAATGCTGTCATCAGGTTTATTATATGGAAGGTTTTGTGAAGAAGATAATTTTTTTCTTTCTTTTATTTTGGTTTTTAAGGTAATTATTTTAATTGTTCAATATGAATAGTTAAAAGTTACAATTTTGCCCTTTTTAAAATGTTAAATATTTGATCAAAATACATTTTTTGTCCGCTAACAGACAAACGGATAAATTGTGCTACAACAAAATGAAATGTTTGAGACTGTAGATAACACAAACTAAAGATTTAGATAAAGTTTGTGATAAAATGAAAGATTTAAAGCTGTGATTGCAATTCTTTCAAATGGAGATAAATAACTCTTGTCCAATTTTATAAACCCCTATTTGTCATCTTTTTTTTTTTTCATACTCATTTTCGATCGCATGTTAGATGAAATTCATAATTTTTATAAATTTTTTAATAATATATTATATCAATTTTTATCAAAATTTACTTAAAATATAATTTTTAGTTAAACCAAGCGAGCTATATCACCAATTTTTCAAATGTTTTCACAAAATTTCCTCTTTTATAGAATTTTCATCCTCCACTAAAACCCATATTGCCAAATCAACCCTCAAGTCATCCCATCCACACAGGCAGACCCTCCCCTTCTCATTCGGTAATAAAAGCTCAATTCTTCAACCTTCACCTCTTAATTTTATCTGATATGAAAGTAATTGTGTACATTTTTCTTTCCGGAAATATACAGGAAGGATTGAGAGGGTACTGCCATTTGCTCGATCCGATCCAAATTTTTCTTTGATTTGTAAATTGGAAGAAAGAGTGGGACTAAATGGGTATAGTGTTTACGAGGTTGTTTTCGTCGCTGTTCGGGAACAAGGAAGCTCGGATACTAGTATTGGGGCTTGACAATGCCGGAAAAACCACAATTCTTTGTATGCATTCTCTGTCTTCCATATACTCTTTAGAGGAATCTCTCTGATGTTTTCCGAATTTCTTACGAATTGATGATCGTAATGCCCTTTATTCGTTTTTCTAATATTTGCAGATCGGCTTCAGATGGGTGAAGTAGTCTCCACTATCCCCAGTTAGTCGTCCTTTTTTATTGCCTTAAATTAATATTATATCAATTAAATAGACGTGAGAGAATAACATCGCGGGTGGTTTTTATTATTATTAATTTTTTCTTGCGGAGTTAATTTGACCGAAAAATGTTTACTTGATGATTAGTTTATCAGTTCATGCAAATGTTTTTCTGATTTGCATTTACAATAATTTTTTATTTTTATTTTATTATTTTTATTTTTGTTTTTTCTGAAAGATGGTGGAGGGGTGTAACTGGAATATTTATTTGCTGAACGAAAAACAGGAACTTGTTCTTTTCTTGTCCTTGGTTATGTGAGATGATTTATTTCATTTTCTTTCCCTTTGGCTGCAGCAATTGGATTTAACGTAGAAACGGTGCAATATAACAACATAAAGTTTCAAGTTTGGGATCTAGGTATTTTTATCATCATTCAACTAATGATACTATTCTTTTATTTACTTGATATCTCAACGTCTAGTTGAATTGACTTATTTGTTGGTGAAATGAAGGGCGCCAAAGATGCCAATGATTCCCTAAGCCAGTCTTGATTTCCTACACCCTGAGAAACTTATTTGGACATGCTAATTTGTCCATGAATGAAAGCACATTTGACTCTTGTCATTTTTCTCTTAGCATCTTTCAAGGAATTGCTCCCGTGAAATGTGTACATTTGATTGTGCTTGACCAGTTTTATTTTGTTGTGGAACCGACAAGGTGGTTCAGTTTCAGATTTGACATGAATAGTATATCCTTGAGAGTTTTACATTCTTTTTTCCTCAGTCATAAAAATGCATCTTGATTATTAGCTCGGATTAGCCTGTGTCGTTTCTCATGAGATCTCTTATCCTTTATTGGCATTGTTATTCTGTTAGACGTGCAAGTTTCTGATTTCTCATTATTACATTCTTGTTAATCATGCTATTCTTTCTTTGAGGTAACATAGAAGTTATTCTGAAGTGTTTGTCTAATATGTATGTTTTTCTTTGCTAATGGCAGGTGGACAGACGAGTATTAGGTAACTTACCTTGGGCTCTTTTCTTCTGTCAAATATGAAATTATACGCTAGCTTAATTGATTTCTTGAACTGAATTTTTAAGATAAACAGCATACACTATCATAACATTTCATGATAATTCATATGCCATTCCATAAATATTTTCGTACAACAAATCATTGTAATGATAAAGACATTACACAGTTGGCTAAATAGTTTTCCTCTCGCTAGCCTCATTTTTATGGTTACCATAGAATCTTTGACTTCTTTAGTATGTTTTCTTTTGCTTTCTATTTTATTTGTTTCCTCAGGTTTCCAAACTATTACTTGATATTAATGAATATTTGGCTTATATATAGTTTTTCTGACCCAATATTCCTAACTTGGAATTTGGTTCCTTTTTGCTTTTTATTTCATATATTTCCTCAGGTATTCAATCTATGATATGATATAAATCTGTGATTATATCTATCTGGATCATGTATTGTTTTCTAGACTGAATAATCCTAACACGGAGAAGAAAAAATTGTTTCTAGAGTTGCAAATTGCAATTCATATGGAATCTGACTCAGTCCATTGATGTAATAACATTGGATAAGAAATATGCACGCAAATTTGACCTTATGTCATTTGAACTGGTAGTCCTAGAAAATGATATAACAGTAATAAAGCAGAAGCTTAGGTGTATATGAGAAAGTTGAAAAGTAGGCTACTGCTCTCAATTGCACGATCTACTTGCTATTTCTTATCTTGAAGTTTATTTTTCTGTATCATCCTTAAAATAAATTAATTATTTTTGGTGAAATATCATACACAGTTTTCTAAAAGAAAAAAGGAAAAAATAAAATACTGCAGTGATGAATTAGAGCCTTGTAAACACTAGGAATCATCAGACATTAGTAGTCAAATTCGTAATCTGAACACGCCTATAGAAAATAGGCACACAGAAAGAGCATTACTCTACTCCAGCCTACAAAAGACGGGAAATATGGGGTAGTGCGTGTCAAATTATATTGGATCATATTTTCTATTGGGTTTCCTTGACAATAGTTCAACCACTTCCCCCAGAAAAAGATACTTTGTATGCTTAGTTTGTATGGTCCATTACGCTAGCTGCCTGAAAAATTAGGAATTTTTCTATTGCCACCTATTTGTCATGGACTCCAAGACCTTCTCTTGATTATGTTACTATCATTAATTGCTATTTCTACATACACATGAATAGCTCACAAAATAATTGTTTTGCTACCCAGACCATACTGGAGGTGCTACTTTCCCAATACTCAAGCCATAATCTATGTTGTTGATTCAAGTGATACTGATAGGTTGGTGGTTGCGAAAGAGGAATTTCATGCGATATTGGAGGTTCAGTTACTTTTATTCTCTATTTATTAAAGCTTCAATGGAATAGTGGTTAAAATTTTGGCATTGCATGATTATTTATTTATTTTGTGTGTGTGTGTGTGTGTTTCAGTTCAAGGGTATTTGTCATTCTCATATTGGTAGTTTAACAAATAAGTTGAAGTATGTTGAAGCATGCTGTGCATATTTATCTTATGCACATTAGTTCTGACTGGAACATGGAAGGGAATGGAAAACCACAAGAAGGAAAAGTGATGAGAGATCTAGCCCCTATTTGGGCCCCATTATTCAAAAATACATTTTTCTTTGTCATCTCTTCAACCTAGCATTCTTCAATAAAATAATATTACAAATCGAAAACTTTTCCTTAATTTTTAACCCCCCACATTCTCCAAAATATTACCATTCAAAAATGCATTTTGGGAAAAATATATTTTTAATGGAGGCCAAACAAGGGCCTAATTGAATCCTCAAACCACAATAGAAGTCCTGGCTGTCCTACCTACTTGAATGCTTTTATTCCTGTAAGAAGGATGTCAATTTTTTTTTAGACGTGCTTATTACCAAAATAAGAGGAAAAATCATCTCAGGCTGCTAGTTCAAGAGCTATGTACCTGTCTTCCTTTATCCTCTTTTTCTTTCCTTTCTGTTCCTATGTCCTTTTTATTATCAATTTACAGATTGTTATTTCATTCTTAAGTTTCTAATTGTATAGTATCACGTAGATATCTATTTTCCAGTTTTTGGAGAAACATGTGATGTGAACTTGAAGGATGAGAAATTTCAGTAGTGCATAGATCAGAAAAACAAACCTAAAAATTGCTTTACAGGCAGTGGGGTTCCCCCCACTCCATCTCCTTTGATTTTGATTCCATCAAGCAGTTTAAAGGCTCAAACCCTGCATATATAACTTATTACTAACGGCTACCCATCAATACAACCAAAATATCACCCAAGAATCTTTGTGACTTAGGAGGTCGCCTACTTTGGAAAAGAGGGAAAAATGATGACGTCCTCTCAACCTTCTAAATTGACATTTTCCCCTTAAGAAAGCCCTTTTTAAGCTTTTGCAACTTGCTTGCCTTTGTTATTCTCAACTCTAACAATAACTTCAATTACAATGTTCACTTGCAGGAGGAAGAGTTAAAAGGTGCCGTTGTCCTCATATTTGCAAATAAGCAGGTCTGTGTTATTGCCATCTTGCTTATGCTCTGGAAGAGCGAATAAGCTTGTCTTTAATGTATCCTAAAAGGCACTATAGTATGTTAAAGATCTCTCTGATTCTCTAGACTTTCTATTTCAAACCAATCTAATCGCATCTTTCCAGAACCCTGGGGACCTAGGTCCACTATTATGACATCACATGAACATATTTAGTTACTCAAACAATTGTGAAAACATTTTTGATGTTGCCGTATTTGCAGGATCTTCCTGGCGCATTTGATGATGCTGCAGTAACTGAGGCCTTAGAATTGCACAAGATTAAAAACCGTCAATGGGCCATCTTCAAAACTTCTGCCATAAAAGGGGAAGGCCTGTTTGAGGGCTTGGACTGGTAAGATCAGCTAATTGATCTTACGGATATGATACACTTTTTGTCTATTTTTTCTTCTCTACTTCCTTGAATTCTGTACTTTTCACTTTCCTCCCTCTTATAATGGGACTGACATCTTCTGTCTTGGCAACTTTACACCCTGATCTCCGCTATATCTATGTTATTTCATTTTATGAAAAACTCAGTGTAAAAGGAAATAAAAGAAAATAAGAAATGAAACTCATGGTTTGACCCATTCTTGAAGTTGCATGATGTTACTGTAATAAAATTCTGAGTTTCTCTTAACCACCAATATGCTCAAGTAGTAATGAGTAATCAATCTCTCTCAAACTTTTTCTTTCTTTATTTTATTTTATTTTATTTTTTTTTGGCACACTATCTATATTCTGCCATTTTGATGGAAGAATGTCTCTCTTCAGAAGTTCATGCTGTAAATACGAGTTAATATTGAATATGGCATCGCATGGCTGTCTTCTTACTTCTTCCTGTACCGTTAAATAGGTTGAGTAATACACTTAAATCGGGAGGTGGCTAACTTTTTGCACAAGGGATGGATGATTTGCTATGATGTGGTCAAGGCTGATTTAAGAAAAATCTGACCATTACCGGTATGGTTTGTGCTAGAGATTCCATTCACTGGCTTTCTTCTTGTTACATTTTCTTAACAAGACGATGGATATAGAATTTAAATTTCAGTAATGTCACAGATAAATATGTTGCTCAACATTCTCTTAACTTTGTCATATTTGAACGTTGGTCTCTCTTACGGGGAGAAATTTTTTCCCGATTGTTTGTCATACATGGTGTTTGTTAATGTTTTTAACAAGAATTTTGTCTCGATTAGGCACACAAATTCTGGGATATCAATAAAGTAGATGTACTGGAGATAATGTTGTATTGTAATTCATACCGTGGACAGAAATCATATTTAACAAATATTTTATATTTACTGAATTGAATCAGTCTTGAAATTAATTCCTCATTATACAAATGGACCCCAACTTCTTCAAGTTTTGCACTTGTTCTTGGTATTCGATATTTGACCTGAGCAAACCATGTATTTCCCCTGTTCGACCCTTTAAAACTCTTCAATTTAATATAAATTGTTTTCTCTTATTTTCAACTATACAATTTTTAATAAAATAATATTATATATAATTCGAAAACTTATGATTCTGTTAAAATCATTCATTTTTCAGAAAAATATTGTTTCTCCCATTATAAACCCAAATAATGAAGGCCAAACGGGGCATTATGTTTTTATCGGTCAAGGGCAAGTGGATCAACTTAAAAACCCACACCCACTAGTTTCTTGTTGAGATAATAGAAATTAATACTTATTTTATTTTTTTTTGGCACACTATCTATATTCTGCCATTTTGATGGAAGAATGTCTCTCTTCAGAAGTTCATGCTGTAAATACGAGTTAATATTGAATATGGCATCGCATGGCTGTCTTCTTACTTCTTCCTGTACCGTTAAATAGGTTGAGTAATACACTTAAATCGGGAGGTGGCTAACTTTTTGCACAAGGGATGGATGATTTGCTATGATGTGGTCAAGGCTGATTTAAGAAAAATCTGACCATTACCGGTATGGTTTGTGCTAGAGATTCCATTCACTGGCTTTCTTCTTGTTACATTTTCTTAACAAGACGATGGATATAGAATTTAAATTTCAGTAATGTCACAGATAAATATGTTGCTCAACATTCTCTTAACTTTGTCATATTTGAACGTTGGTCTCTCTTACGGGGAGAAATTTTTTCCCGATTGTTTGTCATACATGGTGTTTGTTAATGTTTTTAACAAGAATTTTGTCTCGATTAGGCACACAAATTCTGGGATATCAATAAAGTAGATGTACTGGAGATAATGTTGTATTGTAATTCATACCGTGGACAGAAATCATATTTAACAAATATTTTATATTTACTGAATTGAATCAGTCTTGAAATTAATTCCTCATTATACAAATGGACCCCAACTTCTTCAAGTTTTGCACTTGTTCTTGGTATTCGATATTTGACCTGAGCAAACCATGTATTTCCCCTGTTCGACCCTTTAAAACTCTTCAATTTAATATAAATTGTTTTCTCTTATTTTCAACTATACAATTTTTAATAAAATAATATTATATATAATTCGAAAACTTATGATTCTGTTAAAATCATTCATTTTTCAGAAAAATATTGTTTCTCCCATTATAAACCCAAATAATGAAGGCCAAACGGGGCATTATGTTTTTATCGGTCAAGGGCAAGTGGATCAACTTAAAAACCCACACCCACTAGTTTCTTGTTGAGATAATAGAAATTAATACGTGGAAATTACAAGTCAACAGGCGTTTGAAGATTAAGATTCGTAAATTAGCTACAAAATTTATTTGTTCACATATGAGGTATTTATATAATAACTAAATAGTAAATAAACTCCTAACCCAATTTATTTTCGAACCCATCTCTGTCTCTTTTCTCTCTTTATTTCATCTATATATTTCCACGTGGCCTCCTCTTCTCCTGCTCTCTCACTAGCTACTCTCCAGAATTGCTCTGTTCCTTATCTTAATCGATTGGTGCTCTAGATTGCATTGACTTCACACGTTGTTACTGCAAAATTGCTCTTCAGCTCGCATAAATCGAACTCCAATTTGAGGATATTTAACTGCAAAACAAAAGCATCAATATGGAGATTGTAACTCCCAATAGCAAACCCAAGGTAAAAGTGTTTGATTTTGAGGCATGCTAAATACACTGTCTATTTAGCTAATAAGTTCGCTAAACTGAGATATTCTTTCACTGTCGTTTTATTCGGTGGTTTCTTGTGAAGTCTCTCAGTCAAAAAATAAATAGCTATTTTTTTTGTGGTAATTGTGGATTTTAGGTGGTTGTAGTGACAGGATCGAGATTTTGGTGCTGAAATGGATCTTGAATCCGTACTGGGTGATTTGTATGGGCGATAGAATTTTTGGATGGTGGTGGTGGTGGTTTGACCGTGGAGGAGGAGGTGGTGATTTTGGATGATGGTTGTGACAATTTGAGCTGGTGACCTGGGGGAAGGCATAATTGATGCCGGTTGGCGCTCGACAGGTGTTAGCGATCACGGTGGTGGTTCAGATGCAAGTGCAGGTGATTCTAGTGGTGGTGGTGCCTGTCGTGGTTGTGGTGCCGTCTTTAAGTTGTGTTGGTTTTGTATAAACGTGATTTGCGATCAATGAATTGAGTTAATTTGTGAGCAAAAAATAATATGTAATTTGTAAAATAGATAATTTTTATATTGATGCAATGACTTGTGATATGTGAATTGATAACATGTCACATATCTGTCTGCACTTATTACAGGTTATATATCACGGATCACTAATTTATATTCACATGTCAATATTAATTAGTCATTGGTCATAGTTCATAGATTACAGGTCATCATTCATAGGTCACATGTCATATTGTATAGATCACGGATATTCACAAGTCATGAGTTAGGCTAATATTAATTGGTCACTGATCATATTGTATAGTTCATAAGTCACGGGTTATTGTTTTTAGGTCAATATTAATTGGTTACATGTTATAATTCACAAGTCACAAGTCATAAGTCATATTGTATAAGTCACAGGTTATAGTTCACATGTCAATATTAATTGATTAAAAGTTATAATTCATAAGTTACATCTTATAGTTCACAAGTCACACGTTACCATTCACAAGTCATATGTCATATTGTATAGGTCACTAATGTTCACAAGTTACACATTACAATGCACATGTGAATATTAATTTGTCAAGGTTATAGTTCACAGATCACAAGTCACCTTTCATAGGTAACAAATCAATGTCTATAGATCACAAATCTAAGAAAACTCGTTACAAGCTATTGAAACAGTATCACAAGTAACAAATCAATGGCCACAAGTCATGGATCCAATAGAATTGGCCATAAGCCATTGGATCAATATCGATGGTAACAATACACAGGTAATTTAAATTGAGGTTCAATTGGATAATCCTTCAATTCTCTCAATGTTTTGGTAAATTAGTAAACCAAACCAGTCGCTACCCTTGAGATGTTGTACTCATGGATCTTGAGCAGGTACGACAGGATATGGTAATCGCCACCTTCAAATCTAATTCGAAGCCCTTCTCCAACAATTCAATACAACAACTCTGCAATGTTAGCCGCCACCTTCAAAAATTATGATCTGCTGTGATGATAACTTCCAATTTGTGACATCAAATGTCCGATTATTTTCAATCAACCAACTATCGAAGATGGTAATCCGGAAATTGATAGATCTTTTTGGCTTTTCTCTTTAGTTCACAATGATTTAGTATTTTGGGGAGTTCGATTTGAGATAGTATCTGAATGCTGGATTTTAGGAATCTAATTTAATAAATATTTTTCTCAAATCCAACAATTCAATAAATACATTACTCGTATTCTTGTGCATGTCATGTACTTTTGACTCGGTTTGCATATGTCCATGATTTCTTCAGCTCAATAGAGAGACTTTCATCATTTTGGCAATAAAGTGTACTGTGTCCGGATAAATTTTCCCTTTGCAAAATAATGACTGTGTGCTATTGCCAAAAACGTAGAGATAGGAACCAAATCCACAATAAGTGTAGGTTTAGGTACCAGAGTGCAAAAGCCATAGTTAATTTATTACTTTACGTTATTAAATAATTGAATTCGAAAAATAAGTACCAATGACATGATAATCACAAGAAATTGTGATTATGATATACATGTTGTGTTAGTTCTTTTTAATTGTCCTTATACGAGACAGTATATTATAAGTGTTGATATGTTAGCATACGTTTCTTTTGAAAAAGTTAGTTGATCTCATAAACCGAAGTATGAGATATACATAACCTTGTTATATAAATAAGTTCATAGAGATTCAATATGGATAATTATCTTATTGTAAGTTGATTATGAAACTAATGCTTTGACTCGGGATTATCATAAATTCTTATGTGTAGGCTGTCACATTTTTATGGTGTTAGATGCAACTCTATTCAAGGTTGCTAATATAACAATAATTGAGTGGGACATGAATCACATTAAAATTGATGAACGATCAAGAAGGAACTCTTGGATAGGAAGAGATTATATATCCTGAATTTGGTGGACCTAACTATCCCTAATTCCTTGGTCAAGGTAGAGTCATGATTTGAAAGATATATAAAAATAAAATTAAAAAAAAAATTAAAAGGGTTTTCAAATGTGAATGCAGTAAATCGATTACTTGAATGATGAATAACTTAATTGGTGAAATTAGATTGATAGCTTGTTTGGTAGGAATTTTGATAATTAATTTTTTGACCGTTAGAGATAAAGTAGACCCTACTTGTGAGAGAAGAATTCAAAAATAACGATTGTAATAGTGAAATAACAGTAAAAAAAAATTAATTTTAATTGAATTAAAATCTCTACCAAACATGCTCTGACACGTTCTGCATCTCATAACCAAGTGAGAATTATATTATATGTCACTGTAGTTGATAATAATAAGCCATACAAAAGGGTGGTGGTTGGAAGATTGAATTGGGACATCAACGAAATAATAAGTATGCGAGATTTATGGATTCAATGACTGTGCGGAGTTATGGCTAAGTGTTAAGCTTCTTGGACAGGGGATTGGGACAGGGAATTGGGACAGGGGGCATGTGGCGCCCCCCTATTGGAGGGGTAGCTGACCTTTCCAATTTCAATAATTAGATGATTTATTATTATTATTATTATTATTATTATTATTATTATTTTATTTATTTTTTTTTTTTTTCTCAAAAGTCAGTTGCACTTTACCCCATCCTCCTACACCCACATCCGCTTGTTCAAAAAAGGAGCTTATTGCATGTTGATCGAGCTTTATATAATGAATTATATAA